AGAAACAAGGGAAAGGCTGAAACATCCTCTGCACTGGAGCTGCCCCTGCAGGACAGAAGCAGTCCTGGACATAGCAAGTGAGGGGGAAGGAAGATCTGTTAAAAGAGATTCATTGCTTCCAGATGCGTTACTCAGCAAAGAGCTTTCTGGTGAAGAAGACTTCCTGCACAGCTAGCAATGATTCAGAAACTCTCCCAGGCATTTGACAAACCCAGCCATTACCCTCCTCTTCTTGGACAGCTCCTATTTCAGCAAATTGGTAACACTCGTCAGCATCTGCTTGTCTCCCACCCACTATTTCTGATGTCTTCAAAGTCCTTTGTTTAATATATTCAGGGTGTTTTCATTACGTTCTGGGTTTATCCTAAAGCTGAATCCATTCAGATGCAGCTGAAAATGTGTTTCCCCACAAGAATTTGCCTGCTATGGCAGAAATGTAGTAAAAAAAAGAGGCAGCAAGCACGTTTAAACCACCTCTCCCTCTTGCAGTTGGAATATATTCCTCTAGGATGCCTTTGAACCCTCAGTGCATTTGAATTTGGGCCCAATAAGGCGCCACTGGCCTCAGCAAGAACTCATGCTGAAGCAATTTGGTAACACTATCCTCTTGCTAGGGAATAGTGTTTGTTGCATGGGAATGTCATAATGTCATTTTTCCAATTGTTTGTGTTAAAATAAGTTATGATTCCCAAAGCCACCTCTGGAAAATTACTAACAAAGCAGCATATGAGAGGTAGCAACACGGCAACAAAAAGCCAGTTCTGTGTTGTTACAAAGGTCATTAAAGACACACACACACACACTAGTTACAGGGAACCCACCATCCTATCCCTCCATGAACAATAAGCCACCCCAAAAGTGTCCCCTTTAAAAGCAACTCTGACCTCAAAGGAGTTATGTAGCGCTGACAGTTAAGTGAGACAAAGCTATGGAGAGTGGAAACATCTTTTTATGGATCCAGACAAACAACTGGAAGAAACCAGACGAGCTTCAAACACACAAACTCTCCTTTGGGTCTCTTCCCCACAAGCCAGAGGTCTGTTCTGGAGGTATTTCAGACACAGCACATAGACTACAATAGATGTCATTTGGAAATGAACATTTCTATATTTCCCCATAGACAGAACCCTCAGTGTTATCAGAAATAGTGTGCTATTGCTCTGCACTATAGCTGAGTGGGAAATGAATACAGTATCTTAGCTCTGATACCTGGTTTATGTTGAATTCTGATTGCTGAAAGATCTTAGAGCTTCTAAATATAAAACACTTTTAGAAAAGATATTTCATTCAAACCTGTTCTCTTCCCTCAGCCACCAATTTGCACCCATTAGAAAGGACATCTGGCTTCTCCTTCCATTCCAAGATGTGTGCATGAGGATGGCAAGGAGTAGATATTTCTATCTTCCTAGTGGTAGTAACTGTAGCTGTCTCCTTAAGGCACTCATTAAAACAGTGGCTTGTGAAGTGGTGGAGCAAAGGAGTACAAGTTACACTACTATAAAGAAAAACCACGAACTTTTTTAAGTCAAAGTTTGGTCTTTCATGGTATGAATTACCCGGGGTAAGCAGAAATGACCAAGTTCAAGAGAAGTTCTGGAAATTCCCTTTTTTTTGTGTGAAGTGTAAAAACAGTAGCAATTGCACCCTCTGCATCCAGCAGTTGTGGTTAGATCAAGAATTCGGCATCAAACTCCCTCCTGCAATATTACAAGCCTGGTAAGGACCCACAATAAGCCAGTGCTCACCCAGAGTCTCCGGCTGGTCAGGATGGGCCTTGCTGTAACCCAGTAATTCTGCCTCTGGACCAGAGCAAGGAGAAATGTAACTCATCTTGCTGCAGACTCTCAAGGTGTATGCCAGCACATGTTGTTAAATCATGGTGATGTGACTGTTTCTAACGTTCACACATACAAGACTCATGTGTGACCATCCACCAGCTACAAACCTGCTGCACAGTGCAGCCATGCCAACTTTTACCTCAAAATTGAGACCATCATGGCAATCCATGCTCCCAAATGACAACTCTTCATCGCTTTAGCTGCAAGTGTTATTATCACTAACCATTTCTGACCGTGCTACATGGTTTTAAGCCAACGTGCATTTTACCTCAAATCTACTCAATTTATCTCAATTTTGCTGCATGTAATGAAAATTACCCGAAGCCGTGACCTTAAAAAACACAGATTAATACTTCACTGGAAATAATTTCAACAAGCTGCTGACGTGCATAACTGTGGAACATCTACTAAAGGGAAGAATGAAAATGGAGCAGTGAGAATAGGGGTTAATAACCAGGTATCTACGTAGAGTAGAGAAGTAGCAGAGTTTAACTATTACATATAAAACATACACGTACTTAGCAAGTCTGTTCATAGACACATTTAAGCTTGTTTAAAATACTCATGATCACTCACCCTTTTTTAGCACTGTAGAACACTTTAATGTCAGCATGTTCTAAATTTGAAGAGTCATTTCACCCCTGCTAACAAACCAGGCCAAGTATTCTATGAATGTCTACTTTTGCTTCCAACTGCTTCACACTACACTTCAGTATCTCCAAGATCATTCCTTTCTCCATCCCATTTAGCATCCCTTTATCTCTTTGGTCCTTCTAACTTGGATGCTAAAATCCAATATATATGAAAGCTCTAATCTAGCATATAAAAGCTCTCAAAGCTGCCTAGGAATAGACAAGTACCTACATTTTACACATGGGTGCTTTTGTCTAAACTGACAATTCAGAGAAAGGGTTATAAAAAGAACCTGGAAGTTCCAATTCCAATGCAACATTTAAATTTACCTATAGTGATATAATGATAAATTCAACTATTCTAAGGGCTTATAGCTCCCATTAGAACGGAAATACTCTTTTTATAAAGGATCTGGTGCATATAAGGCAGCATAACTCAGCTTAATAGGAAGTCAGAACGGAAGAGGGAAAAAAACAGCTGAAAACTTACATTACAGGATGCAGCAACTGAAATATGCACCCCCATGAGCCCTGAGCCAGAGTGGCTGCCAAACGTTAGCGTAAGAAACTCCACCCTCTTCTGCAGGACTAGTTTGGAAAGTCCTGACAATTACAGGGACTGGTAACTCAGATTAAACTGGCAGGAATAACATGAAAAATGGACAAGTTGTTCCTGTATCGTGGTCTCTGAATGTCACTAACTCAGGCTGACATTTACAGTCCCTTCTAAACGGTGCTCTGAGTACTGAACAGCTTGCTGGGCTGATTTTTGGAAAGCATGTTACCAAACAGCTCGGGGATTTGAGAAGTTCCCACACTGTAATACTAATGAGGCAACAAATGCTTTTTAATCCTAAGCATTTCGTTAAGAAGTGATTTGGGAAACCTGCAAAAGTGACTCTTTACCCCTTCGGTTTCCCTTTATCGCCTCTCACCTCTAGGAAAAAGCAGAGTTAATTCCTGCTCCCTCACTGAGACGCTTCCATATTTATCTACAACAGGAAGGGTGGCACTTCCTGCACACCCTGGGATTCGAGCAAAGGTTGGATGCAAATGACCACAAGCCCTCATGCAGGGCATTTCACCCTCTATCAGCATGTGCGTGGGTTTTAGGCTATCATGCAATCTAGCCCAGAGTTACTTACCTATTTTACTATTCTACCTAGGCTAGGCAGAAATATCTTGCAGCAGCACTGAACCCAACTCTTCTAGTAAAACAAGAGAGGTTTGAGAAGAAAACATACAATTACTATTACCCCTGAAGGATTCAGCTTTGTTTGAGGGAGCCAACAGTAGTGCGTACACAGAGGTTCAGCCTAGCCAAGTGCTGTGTGTGCTGGCCCTGGCTGATCACAGCACGATATGCACATTGACTCCATGCATGTGAACAGTTCCAGAGAAGCCACAGGGATGTTCTGTATACTTAAAGTTAGTCACACATCAGGTGCTGAAATCTGAAGGAAAGCCAAAAAGCTCCAATACATCAATGATCAAATGATAGAATAGTTCTAGAGCCAAACAGAATCATGTCACATTTAAATTACCCTATAACCTAAAGCTCCCTGTCCCCCTGAGCAACAAAGGTGCAAGTCAACCTTGCCAGGTGATGCTGCAATTTTAGTGAAATCAATGGACTTATCAATTGTGTGCAAGGCTGAATGTGACCCGTGACATTGAAGCATTCCTCTGACTCTCTTTTTTTTACTTTTCTCATTTGTATTGTACAGAACCTGGTTCCTCAGTGATGGACCACAGCCTGGCGATGCAGCCAGCAAGAAGCAGGTGGACAGAGGCACAGTGAGGGTGATGGTGAGTGCTAGTGGGCAGGAAGATGGCAGAATTAAACAAGGAGAGAACAAATCTGCAGTGGAGGAAGTGTGCTTGGTCATGAGATTTCCTCCAGAGGCTCTCTATGGAGGAAGAGTAGGAGTAAAGGAAGCAGAGGCTGGGAGAGGGAAATGGAGCCTTTGAGAGGAAAGGAGTAGGCGGGAGCAAAGAGGACTGACACTGTGACGCAGAAGGGCAGTGAGGTGAGAGCCATGTGTGAGTGGCAGTGACATGGCTACAAAAGAAACTGCTGTGAAAGCTGCCCCACTAAGCAGCTCAAATGCATTCTCACCTCTTGGGAGGAAAGGGAGAGGTCATGCCCAGCTTATTACGAATGCTGGGCACAGATGGTGGTCTGCACTGTGCACCGCGATAACCTGGTGTAAGTGGAACACCTGGCAAGGGGACAAGCTGCATTCATTTGGTATTATTTAGAAGCCCATCCAGATCTGAGTTTCTGCCAAGTTCAGGAGGTTGCCAGGCTGGGATTTCAGTTCCAGCCCACTTTTATCAGTTGAAACAAAAAGAACACAAAACATAGCTGCTCAGATGAAAGCACTCCAAGGTGATAGAGATTTGTGGCTTATCTGTGCACAGTTCAGTGGCTTAGCTAACCAACACAAAGCTAAGCCAATACAAACAGCTTTGAAGCAAGCAAACTGGAACCCAAGCTACCCTAATTTCTCTCTCCCAGCATCCTTACCTCTTCCTCCAGTTTCACCACCTTGGCCTGAGCATTGTTCAAGGCCTGGTCTCGGATCTCGATGTGTCTCCGTTGGTCCTCATTGGTGGAGCGTGCAGCAGCCAGTTCTATTTCCAGTTTCTCTTTTTCCCGCTGTGTTTCCTTGTCTATGAAAACAAAGTGAGAGTTATCAATGGACAGCACTTGTCTTTACCCAGTTTTCAGGACTCTTTCACTGCAGAGGTGAAGGAAAGATTCTTCTGGAACTTCTTACAAGCGAGAGAATGCAAATCTAGGACTAAGGGGGGAAAAAAACAGGTACATGGCTTTCAAAGAAGAGGAAGATTTGTAACCCTGAAAAACAAGTATGGTACCTTCAAGTACTAGTGAGAAGGACTAGAAGGTGCATCACTCAGTACAGTTAGGTAATTTGCTCTGATTATGCAGATGGTTAGTGACACTTGGCACCTCTTTACCTCCGAGCTTTCAGCAGCAGAGAACAGACTGGGTGATTTTAATTCCAGCGAGATTAGAGAGGAGACAGCAGGCTTCTGTGCCTGAAAAATTTGTGCTCCTTCTTTTCACACTGACCCCACAAACAGGAAAGCTGTTCTGCCTGGGGTAGCTGTCCTCCTCCTCAAAATAACACCCAGTTGTCCCACTTTGCTGGCAGTACCATCAGAGGAGACAGAAAACAAGTGAGCAATGAGAATTCTTCAGTCTTCCTCTACTGCCCTTAAAAACAACCCCCATGGCCAGCACTGAAGCAAATACACCTGTTCTGTCACTGCTTAAAGCAGACCTGCAGTTCAAGAAAGCCTTTTGCCCAGGACTGAGAGCTCATGACTGATGCTTTAAAGCCACCCCAAGCACAGTGGCCGGTCCTTTGCTGCTGCTCTGCAGAAAACTGGACTGAGTGGGAGCAGCTCTGCTGTATTTCAGGAACAGGGAAATTGAATTCATACAAAAATAAATGATAAAATAATTGGGGACTGGAGAAATTATCACACAGGGGTGTAAAGCAAAGCCACAGCACAGAGCTGATGTCCTCTGTATATATTCTCTGTCATTCCCAGCTCAAGCCGACCAGCTATAATGATAACATTAACGCTCTTGCTGGATACATAACCACAAAATACTCCCTGGAGTGATCTACACCCAGCACTGATGACACCAGAGAAACTGCATTCCAGAAGCCAGAATCCCACGACAAAGGAATGAGGACAAGGAGTGGAAAGCTTGAAAAACAGGAACTAGATCCTGGGTGTTAGGACAGACTGCATATGGAATACACAGGCCCGTTTGTGCAAGCATGTGCATAAGTATATTTACAGGACCACAATTATTCCCTTTCTTCTGCCAGCCAGGAGCAAAGCTTTGGCAACACAGAGTAGCTAAAGATTCCCTTCTGCTAAGGAATCAACGCAGCCCACACAGAGGTTGCAAAACAAACCTGTCCACAAACAGCACCCAGAACTCTCCAAACCCTGACTAGAGCTAGCCTGTGACGTGAGACACAAGGACAAAGGCTAATGTCACCACCTGCCTATTCTTATCCCCATCCCCATTCTTCTCCTCCAGGCCAGGAAATGAATTGCTGACAGTGTCAGCACGCTAAAATGTGCTGTAGAAAATGGCAGAGATGAGGTAGGGTGGCATTATGCCAGGAGGTATCAATCAGTGCCTGCAGCCTGTTTGTTTGTTCATCTGTGAGTGCTTGCAGTGAGGCTTTTGGCGGTTTCATTCCAGACTTTTCCCCAAATGAGAACTGCTTCACTCGACAGGTGCCTACAGCACCCCTGGAAATGCTGGGACCGAGGAAATGTAGCACTATGGTTTCCATGTTCACCCAAAAGGAGCAACTGAGTGTGAGGCCTCACAGCTTTGACCTCCCCACCTCTCTGGGTGAACCTATGAGCCTCGAGGTCCACCCAACCAGTTTGAATGCGAGACTAAACCCACAGACTTTCCACTACCACCAGGAGTTTTGAATTCCCACCCTGACAGCCATCTGCTTGCAATGTAAGCCACAGGGAATAAGCTAAAGGCAACACAAGCGAAGGATACCAGCACTTGACAGAGTAGAAGCAGTGTGTGTTACATCACAGAAAATCCCTGTTTTGCAATTTTATTGCATTACCTTTTTATATAACTATTGGAGAAAAGTGAGCACTGTCAGAAGGGTGGAGCACACCATGGGATGAGGGAAAAGTTGGCTCGCCGCCGTTGGCCTCAAGACATTTCAGTACAAAGGAGAAGCAGCATTTCACATCCATCATTTTGTGATAAATCCACTGCTGTGGACAGAATTCATGACCCTTACCCAGCCCAGCATACTGCAGGCAGTGTTCATCCCCCTCAGGTTTGCAGAACTGGATAGGGCAGTGGCAAATTAAAGAGGAAAGAGATAGGAGACCTACCAGGTTCCAGTCTCACTGGCCTTAATTCATGCCAGGACTCCTGTCAGCCTGGAAAAGTTTAATTCCAAAGCTTTCAGGGGACCAAATAAGTGGCCAAACTACCCCGTATATTATGGGGTAAACGCTAATCTTGCAGTTTAATGGCAAACTTATGTTTGCTTCAAAATCTCTACTAAAGGGCATCAAATGGACTTTACATCCTGACAGAAGAGGAATTCTTGAATCCTTTCTCCACTGCCAGTTTTGGACTGTCACTGCCCTGAATTCCATCCTGGTAGAAAACTGACAGATCTGAACCACAGTGACCTTCTGCACTGCTACCTGTCCCAGGATGGCTGGAGCACTGGTACTGAGCCCACTCACTAACTCATTCATAACTCACTTTGTGCAAAGAGTTGAGAGATGGTTTTCCGATTGTCTTCAGACCCCTCAAATTCCTTCTCCGCCAGCTGCTTGTTGGCTGTCTCCATGCGCTCTGCAAGTGTTTTCAACAGAAGGAACACTAAGTCATTAAAAACCTCCAAGCACTAAATCACATCTGCTCAGGACATTTCCTATGCAGTTCCCCATGATGGGGACAGACCTCCTAATTCCACACAGCCAAAAGCAGAAGCTAGCACCCACTTTTGAAATGTTTCCAATTATGTCCTTCAAAAAGTCTTCTCAATGAGGCAAAACAGGTTAAATAAAATCCTAAAGAAATTACTTTAAATACTTACAACACATTAAAAGTTTATTTTTTCCATTTTCACAAATGTTAAGACACCTTATTTTTTCCACCCAAATAAATCTCACTGTGCAATTAAAAGATTCCCTTATAATTCTCCACTAAATCTGAACAGTTAGAAGATTAAATCACTGTTGTTCAGTTACCTGACTTTAGGGAAAAGTGTAAAACTCTAAGGACAGGTTCTGCTGCTGCAGGCTGTTAGGAATTTATGTCAGTCTGTGAAAGTGAGAATGAAATGTTTATGCTGTGCTTTATTATGAATAAGATTATTTAATGCAGGTCTTCATGTACTGTCCTTCTTGACAGCACTGGCTTTACTTCTTGGATGCAAAACAATTTCTGGGAACACAGGCTTAGTAAGAGACACGGGGCAGTGCAAGCAGATGACATGTAGGACAATCAGAAGCTGTTTGCAAACAAATTAAGTTTAGAGTTTAAAAACCTGATTGTGCCCTTTAAACACCCCAAATTGCAGATGGTTTTCACCTTTCAAGCTAATGGTAAAACTTTTACCCATGTTAAGGTCAAATACGATTCAACATCACTCTCCACTGTCAGCCATCGTACTGCCCCAGCCTCTTAGCAAGAACCAGACACTAATAACATCTCACTCTGGAAAAGGAAGGGAGATCCAAAAAAACAGATGCCTACACTGATAAGAAATGACAAGACCTTCAGGAAGAACAGGCAGTCTGCAGTTTGTATGTCAGTGCAAAAAGGTCACTGGACAGGAAACAAAGTGAACATGCCTGGTGTGGGATTAGGCAGTCAGCAAAACGTCTTTCCATTTGTATAAACTGAACAAATTGTACAAATCGTGTCTAGGATGTAAGACAAGAGAGAATTCCAGGCTTGCATCTGGTTTATAGTATTTGGCTTATCATGTTTCTCTTCAATGAGAAACAGGCTGGAAATGAGAGACTACAGCACCCTCCTAAACCTGTCGTTTCCCTACTTGCAGCAAGCACTTAAAAATCTCAGGCTGCTGAACATACCTGAGTATCCTGTCACAGCTGAGCTGTCAACAGACACAGCTGACACTGTCCCGCCAAGTGCAACAGTAAAAACACCCCAAGATTGAAGAAGAGAAGTTTTACTTCATTCACCTCTTAGATCCCTGTTGAAATCATGAAGCCTACGAATTTCTCCTTCCAGTTTGTTTCTCATGGCCTTTTCCAGGGCATCACGTTTAGAGGATGATTTCTCCAGGTTTTTGTATGCCTCTGAAACTTGCTGAATTTCTGTTTCCAGCTGCAGTGGAAGTGAAAACAAGCACTTACTATTTTACCAGTGACAATTACTCAGTTTCAGAAAGGAGATAATGTTCTTTCAGGTTTTCTTTATTGAAGAAACCTACACATACACATTAAGTAAAACAACAGTCTCAGGTTTGTGATGGCTCCGTCTGCATAAAGGACACCAACGGTTAAAACAAAGATCTAGACTCTCCTTCCAGATTCTACTTGTTTCCCCAATACAAAAGCACAGATAAAGCAAAGTGAAGAAGTGCAAATGTAATCTATTATTTTCTAAGACTGGGGCAGTTTGGCACCCCTGTTAGTCTGGGCAAAAAGCATTTAGATAAATAGCTAGTGTGGTATCAAGTGAGTAAGTAAAATAAAACAGGAAAGGCAGACAAAACTATGCTACCAAAACACCAGTGGCAGATCCCATATTACTGATGAACTCTGCAGCTCTGCAATTGTTATGGTCCAAAATTCATCATCAAACCTCCTGATGTTCTCTGTTTACACTTCTACAACTTAGTTGTGCTTTTAAATGTTCAATTTACTGAACGGGGGGAGGGAAACATTTGCAGTAAAATATGTTTCATCCTTCCTTCTAGCCTTTAGTGTGAAGCTTCTCCAATCACTCAGAGCAGAAGGAGATTCAGCTCTAACTCTCCTTACTTAGGCATGGTTCATTGCTATGGAAGCATGGATCCATGTAGCAGCAAACCCTATCAGCACTCCACAGCAAGTGATCAACAGGAGGGTGGAGGAAAGTGCATTTGTATCCTTCTTTCATTATCAGGAAGTTGTCAAACATTTCTCTAAAGCATTTCCTGGCCAGAAACCTTCCAAAAAAAATACAACAAAATGAACACATGTCCCTGGAAAGAGGTAACATAGGGAATAATGAGTGTGGAATGCCACACCGGTCACCTGAACTCAAACAAGTGTTTTAGGCAGCCACTCATTTTTATGGCCCTGGAAACCGCTCGGTGGAAGAGCAGAGCAAGGCCCACAAAGTCCTAATGTGCAAGTAGATTCAGCCTCTTCTCAGCTGCAAGGCACAAGCAAAGCTGACCTGCTGCCCAGCCTTAAACCACTGGTCATCAAGAAGTTATTTCTATGAGACTGCAATGAAAATACCTCTGCACATGCATGTTAATGATGGGTCTCACTGGGATATTTCTTTTAAAACATTTTATCATCGCTTATTCTACTTGTTTCATAAAGCCAAAGGTGGCAAATAGCTTGATCCAAACCAAGACATTGTTTTCACAGAAGTGTGGCATTGAGGGGGCAACAAAAGAGGTGCTAATTTCAGTCCTACAGTCCAAATGTCTTTAACGTAGCCATAGCAGCCTTGTACTTGCCTTGCACGGTGTCCTGCCAGCCAGTTTTGTGGCAATGTCCCCTATTGCCTCCTTGAGTGACTACAGTCTCATGTCATTCCAATCAGGCCCTTCCTGCAGTCTCTAAAGTCTTTTAGACTGATGGGAAAATGAAGCCTGCTGCTATCCTGGGCATAAGAACACTAGCCTTAATTTAACCAAGCAAGCCAAGCAGTCAGTCTCTTCAAGACAGCTGATGAGGATGCTCTTTGAGTATGGTCAGTAAACTATTAGAATAAAACTGAGGGCTTTGATTTTATCTTCTGCCAAAGCTAAACTGCTGCCCGAGGGGATGAAACACAGACTAATCAATCTGCATGTAAAAGACTCCCAAGCAGATAATCAATCCCTTAGGCAAGGAATGTAACAGTTGCAAATTATGTGATTCAATTATGGACAATACTAGACACAGGAGAGTGCCTGATATGCCAAAACACCCACCTTCTGCAGCCGGGCTACCTTCTCATAACATCCATCCAGCTCCTGTCGTAGAGACCGGTTCTCTTCTGACAGGATTTCCACCATCTGCTGGGCCCTGGAAACTATGGCAAAAGGATCTACTTGCATTTGCTGATACGGGGAAGGTATCTGCTGAGCTCGGGATATTACTGAATAGGAATCTCCTTGCTGCTGCTGCGGGCCTAGGAAGGGCTGGCATAGTCGGTACAAGTCCCCCTGATGGACTTGGTTTGACAAGAATGGCTGCTGGGTCCGTGGCAGAATTCCAGGATCTCCCTGGCTTGGAGTCAGAGGTTGCTGGTGCTGGGAAGGGGACAGCCTGGATGGCGGTGGAGACTGAAGCAAAGTCAAAGATCCCAGGGATGTCAAGGAAGAAGTCGGGCTGTGGTGGTGAGGTGGTCTCTGTTGTAACTGCAGCTGCACATCTGGGTTCTGCCTGGAAAACAGAGAGCAGGAGCTCCATCAAAGTCATGCAGAAGATGGTGCACAAACCCAGTGAAAAGGTGTGGGATGATCCCTGTGCTCCTTTCCACAGGCCTTCCCACACAGAAGACTCATATTTGAGCTTTTCCTCATTTTTCTAAGTTTGTTATAAAAAAAAAAATTCAAAACCAAATCATTACCAGAGAACATTATAAAGGCACGAAGGTCTTTCCTCTTGGGTCTGTTTTGTACAGAAACACTAAGAGAAACTCTATCAACAACTACTGACCAAAATTATAACTTTTCTCCACACACTGTGGATAAAACAACTAAACTGTTAGGAATGGGCTTGTCCATTCTGTCCTAAAATGTGCCATCTCTCATGAAGAAAACAATGCACTTTCTTCTGCGATTCAGGATACAGAGTTAAGGGGCTGGTTAAGCTCTATGCTCTATGCCAGCACCACTGATGTGAGCTTTCTGAAATATCACCCAACAAATTGCAGCCTGGTTAAATGAGATAGTTAAAGGGTCTGAAAATCAGCATAGGAATCAGAACCAGCCCTTTCATTCAGAACCACCCACAGGTGATTTGTTTACTGCTCCTAACAAAAGCCTCTACAGGTATGTCCTGGGTTCAGCTACAGCAG